GATGATGAGTCCGTGGATGCGTTCGCTTCACGGGTGGCTACTCTCGTCAATGGGATTCGCGTGCTTGGGGAGAACCTCACGGAGGCCTCGGTTGTCCGGCGTTCTTACGCGTGGCCCCTCCCCGGTACCTGCAAATTGTCACAGCGATCGAGCAGTGCGTTGATCTCGCGACTCTCCATTGACGATCTTGTCGGACGTTACAAGGCTCATGATGAGCGGATGCGGTACAGTCTTGGGGACGGGAGGACGACGAACTTGTGATGCTCACAAAGGCGCAGTGGATCGCCCTTGAAAAGCAAGGCGGGTCCAAGAGCAGCAGCAAGAAGAAGGGAAAGCAGCGTTCGGCGAGAAAGAACTTCGCTGACTCGGACGACGACTCAGATAATGAGGCTGCACCACCACCGAGGAGAAAGTTTGACATCAGGAAAGTGAGGTGTTATAATTGTGGCCTCCTCGGTCACTTCAGAGCTGACTGCGAGGAAGCATCGAAGCAGAAGGCCCTCATAGCCCAGCAGGGTGACGATGGTGACATGATGTTGATGTGTAATCTGGTGGATAAGGTGGATCCAGTTCTTCAAGCGTCGGCTAAAGAAATTGCCGTGCTCCATGAAGAAAAAGTTCACTGTCAAGATCATGGTTCGGAAACTCATGTCGACGCTACGGATATGGGCGGTGATTCCGAAACTTATGTCGATGTTACTGGTATAAGTGCTAACTTCGCTGAAGCCGATGCAGCAATTGCCGCGTGTACTCGGCCATGGAGAAGCAGTCTCCGTGCAACGCATACAGAAAAATCGAAGGCATACGTGGCGCCAAAAGTCCACGAAGAAACAGTAGACGTAAATGCTACGGACACAGGAGAAAATTCTAAAGCTCGCATTGAAGATACTGACGCGGGTGTTACATCTTCAAGTACTAGTGTGAAGGCAGACACTGAAGCTGGTGATGTTGATGCAAAGGCAGACCAACGTACAACATTGAAAGAAGTTTCGGTCACTGGTGCAGCTAGCTCGATGGTTTCTGCCAGCAAGCGAAGACTAGTGTTGTGTACTAGCCATGGAAGTCCAGCTAGAGGCGTAATGAACGGGGCAAGTTGCAGCCCTGGAACAGGCCATGACAGAAGTCTAGCCAAAGGTTGCAGTCCATGTGTTACACCAGTGACAGGAAGCCTAGCTACAGAAGCTTGGGGTGGTATTTTTTGCTTCGTCCAAAGGAATGCATGAAGCAGAAAACTCGGTATCGTCTCCAAAAGTACAGGAGAAAAGGACACCATCATCCACACCTATGCATCTCGGACTGGTGTTCGACATACATCCGGAGAAGTCTCTTCGGACAATTGACCCGGAAAAGATGAAAAGGTGTGAGAGATGGTGTCTAGGAAGCGCCAAGGAACCGGCGAAATTTGGGGACGCAAATACGAAGGAGTGTTGGCATCGGGCTATGGAAGAGGAGTTGAGGTCGATCCACGACAACAATGCATGAGAGCTTGTGGATCTTCCCAACAATAAAAAAGTCATGAGTCTCAAGTGGGAATTTATGATCAAGAAAGATGTCGATGGATCCGTGAAACACAAAGCGAGGCTAGTAGCCAAAGGGTACGTGCAAGAGGAAGGTGTGAACTTCGAAGAAGTGTTCGTTCCCATTGCAAAGATGGAATCGGTGAGACTACTCATCGCTCTCGCGGTTCAGGAATCATGGAAGATACATCACATGGATGTAAAATCCTCGTTTTTCAATGGCGAGTTAGAAGGAGATGTGTATGTGAATCAGTCACCGGGATTCATCAAAGAAGGAGAGGAACACAAGGTACTGAAGCTACACAAAGTCTTGTACGGGCTACGGCAAGGCCCTCGGGCGTGGAGCATCAAACTTGATCGGACGATGATTTCTCTTGGATTTGAGAAAGCCCCACTAGAGCATGTGATGTACAAGAGAGGTCAAGGAAGGGATCGTCTACTAGTTGGCATCTACGCCGACGATCTGTTGATAACTGGAGCAGATGAAGAGGTGATTGCAAAGTTCAAACTACAAATGAAGGAGCTTTTCAATATGGATGATCTTGGTATTTTGAGTTACTGCCTCGAGATGGAGGAACATCAAAATCCGGAGGGGATCACACTATGCCAGAAGGCATATGCAAGGAAGGTACTTGAAAGCCGTAGCATGAAAGATTGCAATCACATTGTCGCTTCAATGGAACCTCGTCTTGAGCTGAGCAGGAAGGAGATGGTGGAACTACTCGACTATAGTGGTAGTGACAAGGAAGGAATTGTTGACGGTCGTAAGAGTAATTCGGGCGTGGCATATTTCCTTGGAGGAAGCATAGTAAGCTGGCTATCACGAAAGCATAAAGTGGTGACATCCACTTCATGTGAAGCAGAGTGGCAAGGTGTATGGCTACACGGTGATCTTATGGATCGAGATCCGGAGCCAGTGGTGTTCAACGTTGACAGTGAGTCTACGACTTTCCTACACGAAGATCCAGTGCGGTGTGAAAGGAGCAAGCACATTGATACAATGTATCATTATATAAAGGACTGTGTGGAAGAAGGGAAGACAGAGGTCAACTACAATCGCACCGATGATCAGTTGGCGGATATGCTGACCAAGGCTTTGGATCAAGAGAAGTTTCTGGAGATGCAAAGAAGAATTGGCGTCCAATCTATAATGTGACCACATCGTGTTTAGGGGGTGAATGTTAGACTTAAATACGAATTAGTAGTACACGGCATGTGTACATCGTGGTTTGGTAGGATTCCTAGTTCAACTAGGATTAGTATTCCTGGCCAACTCGGTCATGTACGTAGCTAGGTTAGCCTAATATATATATGGACCAGCCCCTATAATCTAACGTACCTTGAGTTGAAGCAATAAAGCATACACAAGGCTCGATACGAGTCTTTGGCAATACGCCGGCGTCTCGCGTGCGTACGCTTTGTGTTTCCGGCTGTGCTGGCCGTTGTGTGCGTGCGTGGCTATTAGTAGATCGTTTACGATCAGCCGTGATACGTAGGTGTATTTTGCTTTGGCCACTTGGGGCAGGAACCAAGACTGTCGGCAAGTTTTTCGTCGTCGTTCGTCGTCGGTCGTTTACGTGTTGCCGGAAAGTACTCGGCGTGCACAGTTTGGGCCAACACACACCGCCTGTGCAGCAGCTCTCCCTCCGGTGGGATCCGACACCGCGGCAACGCCGTCAGGGAAGGAGCAGCAGTAGTCGGCCGTGCCTGCCTTCCATGAGCAGGCAGCAAGGAGCTCCGCATCCAGCGTCGATGCCGTCGAGTCCAAGAAGCCATCGTACACCGGCGAGTCAGCTAGCTACTTGTTCGTTGGCTTGGCTGATGGATTGGTGTTGACCGATGCCATCAAGCTACTGCAACCCGGCCTCGCGCTCGCGACCTTGCCTGGGGCTGCTACACGGCGCTCGCCCTCGCGCCCATGCCCGGCCTCGCCCTCGTGCTCGCGCCAGCGCTCGTCCGGCTACGCCCGGGTGCCCAGGGATGCTGCACGACGCTCGTCCTTCCGCGGTGTCGGCGTGTTCCACCGCTTCCCCGGCCGACGGTGCTGCAGCCGGTGGCCTCGCCAGCGCCCGCGCCCGGCCTCGCCTCGCTGCTGCACGGCGCTCGGCCTTCCGCGGTGTCGGCGTGCTCCACCGCGCGCCCGGCCGGTGCTGCTGCAGCCGCTGGCCTTGCCTCTCGCCCGCGCACGGCCGGTGCTGCTGCAGTCCACTGGCCTCGCCTCTCGCCCGCCCCCGGCCAGTGCTGCTGCAGTTCGCCATGCTCGTCGTGCCGTGCCGCGCTCGCCCTGCCTCGCTGCGAGCTGCCCGCCTGCTACGTGTTGGATGAAATGCTCGAACGGACATGCACAAAATGGGTTTGCCTCCCGTTGGGCTCACAGGCTGACCCAAACGAAAAAGCGGACATGCATGTCCGCTTGGCCGACCCAAACAAATAAAAAGCGAATAAAATCCGTGTCCTCACCCTCTTAGAGTTGCTGTAAAACCTGTCTAAATACAAATGTAAATCTAAGACAAGCTTTTTAGGAGCGACGGAGTATGGAGCAGGATACAGTAACAAGAGCATCGAAAGGTGTGCCCGGTGCTCAGAGCTGGTATCCTGGCAACGCCCCAGTGGCTGCTCCCATCCCACTGGGAACGCCCATCAGAGGCCGCCTCTGGCGTGCGTGCGCGTCGCCAAGGCCGCAGAGCGCCGCAGACGCGGCGTGGTGTGCATGGCGAGGTCAGTTCCGTTCAGGTGGCCTGCCCGCCCGCCTTGCCTTGCAAGAGACAAGTGGCTTGCCAAGTACGCGACGGCCGGGCGATTCCCCGGCCTGCCTGCGTCTGACAACAAGACACCCCCTCCGTCCGTCACAAGATCTCCGGACAAAATCTAGGATCTGCCACCACCGCCCAGCCCCAGCCAGCGAGCGTGCGCGAGAGCCCTGCCCCTGGCCCTCCTCTGCCTTGCAAAAAGCGCATTGGCCGGCCGGCCGACTGGCCCTGCACTGTTGGCTGGCTCTGGGGTCTGGGCGTTGCCATGGCATGCACCCGCATCAGAGGAGCCCAGAGCCTTTTACCGCCGCTTCTCCAGCAGCTCCTGCCACCACCACCAGGTCAGGTCACGTCTTCTCCACGGCCCGCCGATGGGATCGCACCTGGCAGCAGCCGGCCACTCGTAATCCAAAAACGAAAAATTACTACACGCAGCAGTATTCTCAACAGTTCATATTGATGATTTGTTGCTCCATGTTTTAAGCACCACAGGTTCTTTACATTCCAGACAAGCTCACTCACACAACATCCGGGCCAATATCTGCAAGCAGCTAAACATAACACAATTTGACACAATTTTTACAAGCACACGAACACGGAAGAAGATGCTTCAGAGCTGAAGCATGCTATAATAAAGACAGCAGCAGCAGGAGCAGCAGCAGGAGGAAGCAAGCAGGCAGACAGACTTCACTTCTCTTGACGGCTTATTGATGATGAGGAAGGCTTGGTTCATTCATGGAGACTCCGGCCAGTCGATCCCGGCGAAGGCGCCCTCGCCGAACCCGCCGCCGTAGAACCTGACCTCGAGCCCCTCGAGGGCGTGGCCGTCAGCCCACAGGGCCTCCTCGTCCTCGTCGCTCCCGGCGCCGGCGAAGTAGTCCTCGTCGTCCATGAACTCCTCCCACGAGTAGATGGAGTCGTCGTCCGAGTCGTCGGAGCACTCCTCCAGGAAGCTGTTCTCGTAGCAGTCGTCCACGCGCGGGCCCAGGACCTTGAGCCCCGGGTACTTGTCCTGCAGCAGCTTGTCGTCCACGCCCCAGCAGCCGCGCAGGTCCAGGAAGCTGAGGTCGCGGCACCGGGACGCGATCTCCACCACCGCGTTGGTCGCGATCAGCATGTACCCGATCTCCAGGTGCCGGAGCTTCGGCATGCTGCACGCGATGGCGCGGGCCTCGTCGTGCTGGCACACCTTGCCGGCGACGTCTATGGGGTGCATCACCCGCCGGAGCCCCACCAGGGACTTGCAGTTCTTGCCGAACGCCTCCAGGGCGCGGGCGCCGATCTTGGTGCAGCTGCTGACGTCCAGGAACGTGACGTTGGACAGCCTTTGCGCGACGTCTTCCACGATGCAGTCGCTGATCTCGCTCCGAGGAAGCTCCAGGGTCTTGAGAGATCGCGCGCTTAGAAAATCAAACACGGTAGGGTCAGTACAGTTGAACCAAATATTATGGATAGGATCACAGGTAAACAGAAGTGTAATACACTAGATACCACTATGATAGATAACCCTTGTTTTAGTAGGGTCTATAATTGGAATGTAACACAAATATTTCGAAATGGACACAACCTGCTCGATTAAATGCTATTAATCGCGGCTATGAACTGAGTTCCTAACATTTAGTACAGTCAGAAAATAGATCAGAGCCAGGGAGCAGTGGAGCATTGTATAGAGTTGGGGGGCGGTTGGTGATACCATTTTGAACATGTTCTTCTGCATTGCACACATGTGCAGGATATGGCACCATGTTCACAACATTCATCACTATCAGAAAACAGATTGAGCAAGAGGAGTATTATTGTGCTAGCAACTTGATACCATCACCTATAACCCTGTATTTATGGATTGATGCACTGGAATGATACTACTCCGTTTGCATTTATGCAATTGAATCAATAGTTTACGAGCCTTTACAAAAATAACTATTAAAATGTACGCACAATTGTTTATAAATGATTGAATTCAGCGACAATAGAGCTGACCTTATTGTGTAAAGACAAATACAGAAGCAAGGCAGGTAAATTTGGAATCAATTATGTTACATATAAGGTAATACTTGTTTATATTCATTAGCACATGATTCTCTAATGAATAGACGTATTATCATTCATGCCCATGTTGCGTCATTTCTCAGAGATTTGGGCCCTAGATCGTCCGATCATGTCATCCAGCCGATCTCCGCCGTTCATTTTCTTACGGCAGGCGCTAAAACCCTACACACCCTACACACACCGCTTGCGCCCTTTTGTCTACCGTGGCCACCACTCTCTTGCTTCCCGACCCTCCTCTCCGTCGCCCTCACCCCCCTCCTCCCTCTAACCGCCTTAGTAATCCAGCTCCTATAATGCAATCACACAGCCATGATATTTCACCTGCCACTACACCTTGTCACAACGCAAACCATACTCCGCACGAAAGCTCTCATGCATTAGGCAAGGATGCTATCCAATCTGAAGAAGTACTCCAGCAACATGCACATTTCCACCAGCTAATGGTCCACAACTACTAATAAAAGAATACCGTTCCCATCTAGGTTATCAAATCTCATCAGGAAAGTATCATCCAACACAAAAATGATTTTAACAAAAGAAAACTACTTACTGGTTCGCGATGAAGGTGAACAACGAGTCGTTGGGAAGCCCGGACACGCTAATGCGGCGGAACGAGTCACCGCTGCGGGTGACAAGCGTATGAACCATACGGGTGAGCTGGTCAGGCTTGTTCTGCTGCTGGCTCCACTCCTGGATGTCGATCTCCTGCCAGCAGTAGGGCCCTGAGACCACTCGGCTCCAGGACTTGCAAACCCGGGGAACCACGGTGAGCATCTCCTGGAGGGAGAGGTTGCGGAAGATGAGTCCCAGGGCATCTGGCAATAGGTCCTCCCAGCATCTTTCCTCACGGTGCTCTTCCATCCCTGATCCTTCCAGGACTGATCATGCAAGTTGTATGATCCACCTGTTTCAGGAACAATGATACATCACTCTTTGGTAAAATCTCCTTAGCTCACACAGTTGAAGGCTTGAAGTAGCACATTCAGAATTTCATGGTAACTCATATTGACAGTACGAATGTGCTTTCCTATACTATGAAACAAAATCCAGATAATCAATATTTATTTCGAGATGATAAGTTGCCAGTATTTCAAGACCACCACAAAGGAGCAGCTACCAAGGTACATAAAAATAAAACACAGCGACGAGGACGATAAAATTCCAAGGAAAAAAAAAACACCGAGACGATTACATTTTTTTGCAAGCTTCCCCTGAGCTGCAAAGAAAGAAGTCGCACGCTGCAACAAAACTAGAGGAAGAAATGAGCTCGAACCGAGATGGCCGGGAGAGGAGGAGGAAACATGAACTTTCTTTTGCCAGTCCAAGAGGCTGGCTAGATATGGCAGAGCACCTAGAGCACCGCACGCGGGCACCAAAAATAGCACCCCCTCTTGGAGCAAAGCGGGCCGGTCACTGGGAGCGAGGACCCAAATCAGGAAACCTATCCAAGAACCAGACGCGTAGCAGCAGCAGCAGCAAGATGCGAGCACCAACCAAAAGCCGGCCATGGAATTAAACTTTGTTAAACATCACCTCACACACACACCAACCGGCGAGTACCAGGAGAGAGGAGGACGCGCGCAGATCTAAAGCGGCGCCTCCGCCAGAGACGAGGAATTCGAGAAAGCGGCGGCGGGGGGACACCCGGCGCGGTAATTGGCGGCGCTAATCTATACTACTCCGGTCTCCACAGGCTGCTCCGGTCTCCACGGGCGGCGAAAGGCGTGGATATGATGGCGAGAAAGAACGCAAAAGCTCGGCCGGCCTTTCCATCCATGATTTTTTTGTTCTTTCGCGAAAGGAGAAGGGGAGGCGAATAAGAATAAGATAGAGACCCGTCTTTTTCTTTCGTCCCCGCCTTGGCGAGGATTCGCGGGCCGGCCGGGAGGGGGAATAACGTTGACGGCGTGGTGAGGAGACGGGGCGGCGAGGTGGCCGGGAGGGAGGAGGCTTACCGGGCCGCGGCGGCGGTGGTGGCGGTGGCGATGGTGGTGATGCTGTTTGGATCTGTGGAGGGCGTCTCGGTAGGGGAGGAGGAGGGGTGTGGGGAGGGAGGGGGAGGGAGACAGAGTTGAGTGTAACAGTGGAGGGGTGAAGTGGTCGGCGAGAGGACCGGAAAGTCTTTCTCCTTTTGTTGCGCGAAACTGCTCTGTAGACGACACTTCATACACGACATCCAGCCGACACTGTATCCAACGGTGGACCTGTCCTGCTGCTGGGCACTGCATGGTGTGATCTTGTGCATCGTCTTCAAATCGTCTGGGCTCTGTAGACGACACTTCATACACGACATCCAGCCGACACTGTATCCAACGGTGGACCTGTCCTGCTGCTGGGCACTGCATGGTGTGATCTTGTGCATCGTCTTCAAATCGTCTGGAATCGTCGTGTGTATAGCAGGACTCTTTGTTGCGGGCGCGTGCCTTTTGCGGTGCAGCGGGGATGAAAAACGCGGCCTGCATTCCCAGGCCGGGCTGAGGCGAGCGGGTGAGTGACTCTGAAGCTGAAACGTGACGGGATCGCAGGCCTTTCAACATAAACGTGGCACGCTCGAACGGGATCGAGCGAGTCATGCTTCTTGTTGGAGAAAAATTGGTGAGGTTGACACAAGATTTATCTGTGATGCTACGGTGTGTGAGTTAGATCTATCTCTCCTCTTGCGATAAGCAGGGCGAAAGGGACGCCACCGCTCCAACCGTTCCAACCGCTCTACACCGTTGAGGGCGTCGGTCCCCTCCTCCTCCGCTCACCGGTCTGGCGGCGGGCGGGGGCAGGGACCCGTCTATGTGCTTTGGCGCTGTAGATAGGGTAGCTAGGGTTTGGTTTAGGGCTTCCGGTGACGGCGTTGAGGTGGTGTCGGAGTTGTCGAGGGGAATAAGGATCGCTCGGCTCCTTTTCCACCACTCCGGCGGCGGTTTCGTCGTCGGCGGTGAGGAAAGCGAGGTGTGGCTTCGTCGTTGTCCCTCTGGGGCGGTGGATCCTTGTCTTGGATCCCCGGGTGCTTGAGGCGTGATGGTGGCGCTACTAGCTCGACGGGTTTTTGTTTCCCAGTTATGTCCGTGTTGCAGCGGCACCGAGCTTGGGGAGGTTTGTGGGCCTCATGGAGGTCATGTGTAGGTGGATCGATGGGATTCTCGGATCGGTGGCTTCGAATCTGGCGTTCACGGCTGCTGCTTCGGGGTGTTTAGCAGTGATGACTTCCCATCCGCGTGAGACTACAAGGTTAGCCGGAATTCGGCAGTAGGGCTGTTGAAGTAGCTGCGGCGGCGCACCATCGACTCATCCAGGAAGAAGGGGTCGGGAGGCTTCTCAAGGATCTAGCTGTAATTTTCTTTTTTCTTTTTGGGTTGCCTTGTAATGCTGGTTGGTGATTAGATCTGAGGGTCTATTTCGCAAAAAGAAATGATTTCAATGGTTATATGGTATGGTAGATATTTCCTGAATTAATGTGGGCTCGATGTGTTCATCTGTTTTTTATGGCTTTTGTCACTTGTAAAGGACATTAGGGATATGTATATAATTCGTTTTCAAATTTTAACCATCACTTCTCTAAGTATATTTGTTTTCGATAATGTCATGCTAGCATTGTTCGTCAATACGGCCGTTCACCTTCCTGCATTTTTTCTGATTTGAAAATGTCTGAGGCCTTTACTCGTCTTATGGCCCAACAATCCAATGGTCTGGGGCTTGGTCCCTCATTACCTCATTGTTCAAATGCCGCGTCCGCTCTAGATGTTGCCATCAACTAATAGCACATACCCCCCCTTCTCCCTCGATGCACACACTAAAGGCCACAGACAATAATAACAAAGTGGTTATCTCTATCCTAGACCAAATATCCAATAATAAATTAGCTGTTAAGTGCATCATCATCCAGATTCATCAATCGAACAATTAGAGAAACGCTTCGTACCGGAAAAAAACATCAAAGAAGAGAAAACACACAAAACATTTCCATGTCTATGCTTCTAGAAAATTATGGTAAAATAAAACAAATAAAATTGAGACTTTCTAAACAACTTTTGGGATAAAAGAATTCCAATTTTCAACCACCACTTCCCTAACTAGGTTTGTTTTCGACCATGTGCCACTAGTTATATCCTACTAGCACCCACTTCTCGCGGTTTTGTAATTTGACAACGATTGGGCACCTGTGGCCCAACAATCCAACGGCCCATCATCATTGTTTTAGTTGTCGCCATCAAGCGACCTGCTTTGCACCAAAAATATGGCACATAACATCCCCTCTCCAGGCATGAAATAGACCAAATTGGGGAAATAAGATTCCTATCCAATCATGTATTGGGTCTTAGGTGTGTTGTCATCCAAATCTTTGAGTTAACAATTGGAGAAATGTTTCCTACTGGGAACAACGAAGGAAAAGTCATAGTTGCCACTGGAAGAGACAAAAACACAATATATTTCATGTATATGCTTCTCGCAAATTACACTAAGGTGAAATCACTATGATTGAGACTTTGTAAAGGACTTTTGGGGTGGACTTTTTTCTTCAAAATTTTAGCTATCACTCCCCTAACTAGATTTGTTTCTGACCATGTCCCACTAGTCATACTCGCCGCTACAGCCGTTACACTTCCCACGTTTTTTCAATTTGAAAACGCTTGAACCCTTTAGTTGTCTTGGGACCCAACAATCTAGTGGCATGGGATTTGGCCCATCATCATTCAAACATCACATGTTCTCTCCGGTAACCGCCATCAAGCCATAAAGCCTTGCACTTACAAGATGGCACAAATTCTTCTCCCCACAAACCAAGAGAAAAATAACTACAAGGTGGTTATCTCCATATTGGAACCAATTGAGGACATTTGGTTACTATCCTACCACAAATTAGCTATCAGACGGGTCATCGTCCAAATCCTTGAACGTATAAGGAGAGAAAATGTTTCCTATTGGAAACAACGAGGCAAAAAGTCAAGGTTGCCATTGAAGGTGACGAAAAAACAATATTTTCCTTGTTTTTTTCCTTCTTACTTATTACACAACAATAAAATAATTATTATTGAGCTAAATGGGGTTGATTTTTTTCTCATGAGCAAGATTGGAAATTCTAACTTCTTAGTTCTCCTCTCCCTAGGCACCACCTTCCCCGTCATGGAATTTCTCTCCATGACATTTGTATCCATAACCCCTTTCTCAACTAAGGCACCTAGACCAACCCTTCTCAGAATAAGAAATTACCAGTGCTTTGCTAGTCATGAAATCGAAGGCTATACACGAGCCTAGTTTTTAGAAGAAAAAAATACCAAAGCTTCACCAAACAAAAAAAAGACTAATATTGAGTGACTTCTATGATAAGAAAGCAATAAGCACTAGTCTAAATCGAACACATTTTGCAATACTACCTATGTTAACGAAGTGCATGCTAGAGGCTTCCAAACCTATTTCCCTTGAGAAATGTCCTGAAAAGCCATTGCAAAAGTTCTAACATATTAACTACAACTCTCATTACCACTACTTGTCCATTTAGACCAAAACAGTTCCCTCTCGGTCCACCTTTTTGCGCAGCAGATTATTTACACCAGCGATATAAAATAGACGCACCCACCATCATATTAAAACGTTAGTTAAAACTAATTTTTAATCTATCTGCCAAGATTCCCTTCTCCACATCCTACACCACGATGGTTTCCTTCAAAGGTGACGTGCATGGATTAAATTCATCCTAATGATGTGCAGAACGAGCATCCTGCTACATGTCTTCCAGGACTCTGGATCACTTGTAGAAATGGGCTATGATAAGGAAACCTGCTTTCTCCCTACTCATTCATCATCATACCCCATGTATTGCATGATTTTATCCATCACGTTGTCGGGAAATATAGTAGAAAACCAAAAAA